CACCCCCAACATGAGCAGTGACCTTGCTCACAACACCGAGAGAACCAGGAGAAGTCCCAGGAGAAGCGGATGTCCACAGAGGTGACCATCTGTGCATCATTCTCAGAGGGTGGGAAAGGAAGCCCTGAGTGTAAAGGGTTATGACACGGCAGGAGATCTGAGCTTTCTAGAAGCAACAACCACCCCTGCTCCCCAGTCCTGCGTGGACCATGGCTCCAGCAGCTGCCATCAGGGACCCCAGGGGGTCTGCTCCGGCCCTATGGGGTCACCTCATTTCTAAGTGGATTTTGGATTCTGAGCTGGTGGAATCCGAAAGCTAGAGTACGCGTGACTGTGTGGTGTCATCTTCTGGCCAAACCACAGGACAGCTGAAATACTGCCCGGCCAGGCTGCGGGGAAGACGGCTCCTCCCGGCCTCTCCACTCCTCTCCTGAGGAAGAAGTAACAGGACCGTCCTCTCTCGGCTCCATCACCAGCTTTCTCTCTATGCAGAGATGTCATTTCTACAAGGCAGAGGTTCTAGGTCTCTCCATCACTGGGGCTGTGCATGACACTGCAGCCCCAGCAATGGAGACCGGGTGCACTGAGCCGACCCCGTGCTCACCCAGTCCCACGGCAGTCAGTCCTGGCTGACAGTCATCGCACCTATGTTGTAAGCATGTATCAGGACTTCATTCCTTCTTGGGGCCAAATAACATGCTATTGCATAGATGTGCCGTACGTTGTTTATCCATTCCTCTGCTGGCGAGCAGTTGGGTTATTTTCACTTTGGGCTACTAGCAATAATGCTGCTGTGGACACTCGTGTACAAGTTTCTGCATGGGCATACATTTTCATTTCTCTTGGATCTATATTTAAAAGTGGAGTTGCTGGCCTGATGATAATCCTATGTTTGGCCTTTTGAGAAACTACCTTATTGTTTCTCCAAAGCAGCTGCACCATTTTATATTGCCACCGGCAACGTGTTATTATGTCTTTTTTATTACAGTCATTGGAGTGGGTGGGAAGCAGCATCTCACGGTGGCTCTGACTCGCATGTCCCTGATGGCGGGTGATGGTGAGCATCTTATCACGTGCTCACTGTCTTTGGGAAAAGGCTTCTCCAGGTCCTTGGCCCGAGTTTTAATTGGATTGCCTTTGAATGACTGAGCTATAAAAGTTCTTTATGTATGTTAGGTGCAAGCCCCCGTCTGTGATTTGCAAATATTTTCACCCATTCTGTGGATTGTCTTTTCACTTTCTTTTTTTTTTTTTTTTTAATATATTTTATTGATTTTTTTTACAGAGAGGAAGGGAGAGAGATAAAGAGCTAGAAACGTCGATGAGAGAGAAACATCGACCAGTTGCCTCTTGCACATCCCCTATCGGGGATGTGCCCGCAACCAAGGTACATGCCCTTGACCGGAATCGAACCCCGGACTTTTCAGTCCGCAGACCGACGCTCTACCGCTGAGCCAAACCGGTTTCGGCTGTCTTTTCACTTTCTTAATGGCGTCCTTGATAACACAAAAGTTCTTCATGTTAATGAAATACGACTTATCGATCTGTTATTATTATTGTTGCTTGTGTTTTTGGTATCACATCTTTAAAAAAAAAAAAAAAAAACCCAATGGTTTATTTAAGGTCACAACGATTTTTATCTATGTTTCTGCTAAGAGTTTTTCGTTTTAACTCTAACATTTAGGTTTCTGATCCATTCTGAGTTCATTCTTGTATATGGCATCAGAGAAGGGTTCCGTTTCATTCTATTGCATGGGGCTATCACTTGTTCCAACCCCATTTGTGGAAAAACTGCTTTTCTCCATTGAATTGTCATGGCACACTCATTGAAAATCAACTGACCACAAATGTGAGGGTTTATTTAGAATGGACTTGAAATTCCATTCTATTGATCTGTATGCCTATCCTTGTGCCAGTACTAAACTGTCTTGATTACTATGGTTTTTCAGTAAATTTTAAAAACATATTATGCTTTTTCAAGATTATCCTTGAATTTCCACTGGTAAATTTTAGGATCAGTTTATCCACTTCTGCAAAGAAGCTAGCTAGGATTTGATGAGGATGGGTTTCCAGTTCCCGTTCAGCCCTTGCCAACCTCGACGCCCTCTCCTCCCCCTGGGTTCCCTGAGGCACACTAAAATCTTTTCCATAAATCCCATCTTTGCCCTGGCCAGTTTGGCTCAATGGATAGAGCGTTGGCCTACAGACTGAAGGGTCCCAGGTTTGATTCCAATCTAGGGCACATGCCTGGGTTACAATATCCAGTAGGGGGCATGCAGGGGGTAGTCAATCAATGATTCTCTACCATCATTGATGTTTCTCTCTCACACTCACTCTCTCTCTCTCTCTCTCTCTCCCTTCCTCCCTGAAATCAATAAAAATAATTTTTTAATTTCCATCTTTTGCTTAACCAGATTAAACTAGGTTTTGTTTCTTGCAATCAAAAGAATCATAACCAGGTACAGTAGGAACATGGTCCTACACACTGTCTCAGGCAAACATCTCCACACCACCTCCCCAGGGCCGAAGCCCTCAGACTGTCCCTCAAGTATCCAAAGACCCCACTGAGGTCCCAACCTCAGCGATGACCCTTGACCCCAGCCCTTCCCTGAGCCTTGTAAATAGTTCCTTTCCAGGTTACATATATCATCTTCACCAGTTAAAGCAAACATGCCCTTGATATGTGCTTGTGAAATTGAACAAGAGGTCACAAGACAACATCATGAAATAGACTGGTACCACTCCACACCCCTTAGTATTTCCACTTCATGCTCATAGGCAGGTAAGAAGCTCTAGGAAGGCAAACATTGATGTGCCCTTTGGACAAAAGATACAGAAACTGAAGTCCAGAGAAGCTGTGTCTTGCCTGAGAGTGACTGGCCCTGAACACTGGGCTGTACTATGTGCATCCCATGTACATGCACTGGCCGGCCCATTGTCCCGCCCCATCTTTAAAAGTTGCTTTCCTAGCCGGCACCCGTTTGGCTCAGTGGATAGAGCGTCGGCCTGCGGACTGAAAGGTCCCGGGTTCAATTCCGGTCAAGGGCATGTGCCTTGGTTGCGGGCACATCCCCAGTAGGGGGTGTGCAAGAGGCAGCTGATCGATGATTCTCTCTCATCGATGTTTCTAACTCTCTATCCCTCTCTCTTCCTCTCTGTGAAAAATCAATAAAATATATATTAATAAATTACATATATAAAAGTTGCTTTCCTAGTAGAAGACACCTCCTTGCCCAGCCAGCATGGCTCAGTGGTTGAGCGTCAACCTATGAACCAGGAAGTCACGGATCAATTCCCGGACAGGACACATGCCTGGGTTGCAGGTTCAATTCCCGGTCAGGACACATGCCTGGGTTGCAGGTTCAATTCCCGGTCAGGACACATGCCTGGGTTGCATCCTGCCCAGATGCCCCAGGGGGCAAGAGCCTGACCAGCCTCCTCCAGGCCAGAAGCCCCCGCGGACTGAGGAGAAGAACCTGGCAAACCCAACAGCCCCACCCATGGTTCCCACAACGTATGGGGAAACGAGGGCCCCAGCAGAGCCCTGGTCTGCCCTCTGACCTCTACGTAACAGGAAGTGGCTACTCACTTGACCTTCAGGCTTGCCAGCATGGTCTTGACCCCAGTGTAGGGCGTGCAGGAGGCAGCCTATCAGTGATTCTCTCTCACCATTGAGGTTTCTCTCTGTCTCTCCCTCTCCTTTCCTCTCTGAGATCAGTAAAAATATTTTTAAAGAACTCACCTCCTCCTGTCAGTCTTCCAGGACTGCTCCCACTGCTCTTGTGATGTCAACTCCTCAGAGAGACTAAAAGCTCTCCGAGGGCAGGAACAGTTTGCCATGCATCCCTGCCCTAACTGCCCACCCTCTCCTTTCTGAACAAAACAAACCAGAGTGAGAGGCCTCATTTTTTTTTTACCATATCATATCCCAACCCTTAGGGAGGAAATACATTTCCTTACACTCCTAAGCTGTGCTTTGCCCAGAGACCTGTACCCAGGGGATACACAGGCAGTGCTGACAGCTGAATGGCAGGGCAGAGGAATGCTGGCCTGGGAAACATTTCCGCTAAGATGAGGGAGTTGTAGACAGAAGGAGCTGCCTCGAAGCAGGGATTTTCACGGGTGAGCTAATTCCCGTGCAGCACGATGGTATTTTGAGCTTGTGACCAGTGCTGTTTTTCCCTCCTAGAATTTTCCTCATTTTTAATTCACTCCGTGGGGGCAGGGGATTGGTCAGTACTCATTGCCCAAAGGAGGGATGCAGATGGAAGTGATTTTTGTTTAAGTCTCAAGGGGGAAAGAGGAACAGGATGCAGACAAGACTGGCCAGAAATATGGAGAGAAAAGGAACAACAGCGGTGAGGAAGAGCAATGGGAGGGTCGAGGGAAGAGGTGTGTCTGCTCAGGGCTTCCCAGACAGACAAGCAGACATGCATGGTAAACGGAGCAGATAATTCCCGGTCCCAGAATCTGTGCTGGAAGCCTCGGAGAGCCCCGGGCCAGGCCGACCAGCATGGCACCATCTGGTACCAGATGACTCAATAACCTACTACACACACACACACACACACACACACACACACACACACACCGCGGTGTTCTATGGTGTCCTAGAATTACACAACACAGTTTTAGATAGGTGGGCATGCCAGGAAGACAGCCTATGGGACTAGGGCTTTCCATAAAAACTAAGGAGGAAGGAAATACATTTCTCTTTCTTACACCCTAAGCTGTAGGCTAAAAGTCACGGCGCTAAACACAGTCCCACCACCGCTTCCTTTCCAGCCACTGCTTCCTTTCCAGCATCTGCTGCCCAAATGCCCCAGGGGGCAAGAGCCTGACCAGCCTCCTCCAGGCCAGAAGCCCCCACGGACTGAGGAGGAGAACCTGGCAAACGCAACAGCCCCACCCATGGTTCCCACAACGTATGGGGAAACGAGGGCCCCAGCAGAGCCCTAGTCTGCCCTCTGACCTCTACGTAACAGGAAGTGGCTACTCACTTGACCTTCAGGCTTGCCAGCATGGTCTTGTCGATCCTGCCAAGAGAAAAGCAAGGGCTTCGGTCAGTGCCAGGGCTGACGGCTCCCCCCTAGGTCCAGACCACCGGCCCGACAAAGGCGCTGCAGGGACAGCTGCTCCGACAGGGAGCTCTCGGCCAGCCCCGGAAGGCAGGGCAGTGAGCTCTGGAGCCACACAGAACCCTGGGAGGTGGGTACAGTTACTCTCGCCCTTTCAGAGGTCAGGAAACTGAGGCTCAGAAGGGTAAAATCAATGTCCCAGCCTGAAGCCAGGTATCCGACGCCAGACCCAGGGATGGTAAGCACTTTGGGCAGCCTTTCCCTTCATGGCCCCCATTTCACAAGAAGACTCTGAATCCTACATCCATCAGTCACTGGCAACTGGACATTCAGCACCTCGATACTTCCTAGGATTCTGCTTTAAAAGATGCAAGCCGCTCCCCCCCCGCCCTCTCCCCATACCTCCAGCACCAAGGACCTTCCTGGTCTGGGCACTGCCAGTCCAGCCAAGGAGACAGGCCCCACAGCTGGGACAGAGCCGCCAGCAGGCCCAGGTGCACGGGCAGCTGAGACAGGAGCTCAGCACAGGGGCGATCACGTCTGCGGCAGACTGTCCTGGCAGCCAGCGCCTCCGCCCAGCCTGCGCCTCTCTGGAAGGCAAGGCAGCGCGGCTGAGCTTCTATTTTTACCCCCTACGTATGCCAGCCCTTATGGCTGGGGAAAGAGGCCCCTTCCTCCCTCCGGAGACAGAAAGGTAGGCAAGACTGCCACGGCTGGTGTCTCCTCTTGGTTAGGGTCACAACCAGTACTGTCACCATCAGTGTCCCCACCACCACCAGCGTCACCATTGTCACCAATGTCACATCACCCTCAATGTCACCCTCACCCTCAATGTCACCCTCACCCTCAACCCTAGTGCCGTCACCACCATCAGTGTCACCACCCCACCGGTATCACCATCACCATCAATGTCACCACCGCATCAGTAACACCATCAGTGCCCCCCAAATCACCACACCTCCAAGATGCTTGAAACCCTGGAAAGTTCTTTCAGCCACCCCGATCCATCCAGCTCAGAACTGCCACCGCTTCTTCCCGCATACTTGGCTGCTGGGGCCAGCGGGGGCAGGGGAGTGGTCTCAGGACCATGTGGTGAAGTTCAGAGGGGAAAGGCATGGGGTGCTCCTAAAAGTTTTTAAGGGCCGAAACCGGTTTGGCTCAGTGGGTAGAGCGTTGGCCTGCGGACTGAAGGGTCCCAGGTTTATTTTCCTGTCAAGGGCATGTACCTTGGTTGCGGGCACATCCCCAGTAGGGGGTGTGCAGGAGGCAGCTGGTCGATGTTTCTCTCATCATCGATGTTTCTAGCTCTCTATCCTTCTCCCTTCCTCTCTGTAAAAAAATCAATAAAATGTATTTTTCACAACGGGTCCCCAGGGTCTCATTGGCCCCCTACCCCCTCTGGGATGCCGCCCTCCTCCTCTCCCATTCAACCCGCCATTGGAAGGTAGGTTGGACCCTGGAGGAGTCAGATCCCCAAATTCTGCAGTCATATTTGTAACCCAGAGCAGCCCAATCGTAACCCCAAATGATAAGCCCTTACATTTTACAACTTCTCAGGGAGTCTCTCTTAATTCTTCCAACAACCTGTGCTGCAGGCAAGGCAGAAAGCCCCACTTACACATGGAGAAACTGAGACCCAGAGGAGGGAAGTGTCCCCTCTGAGTTCCTCCCCGAGTCAGGGTGGAGTCAGCACTAAACCTGCACCCGCTCAGCCCAACCACCCGCCCCGCAGCCTGACCCACACAGGGTTCCCACGCTGGGGCTGGGGCGGGCCCCGGAGGGCGGGGCCTATGGCCTTGGTAGGGCTGAGACAGCAGACAGGGCAGTGGCTGTGACACTGGACGTTTCCCTTCCTGGAAGCCAAAGTCCCCAGGTTCTCACTGGACCTTCTCCTCATCCCATTCACTCCCACCGCCTGGCCTACCTCTGGCATTCAAAGGGGCTTTTTTTTTATTATTGATTTTTTTTTTACAGAGAGGAAGGGAGAGGGATAGAGAGTTAGAAGCATGGATGAGAGAGAATCATCGACCAGCTGCCTCTTGCACTCCCCCTACTGGGGATGTGCCCGCAACCAAGGTACATGCCCTTGACTGGAATCAAACCTGGTACCCTTCAGGCCACAGGCTCTATCCACTGAGCCAAACCAGTTAGGGCCAAAGGGGTTTTTAAAGTGACCACCCCCGAGATTCCGCTCACTGTCTGTGGCAGACCAGGCTCCACAGCGCTGTAAACTAGCCCCCCAACCAATGGATATCCCCTCCCGGCTGACAGCCATCCCCAAACCTCCAAGCCTACCAGGAAGCCCTGCCATTCTCTCAAGCTCAACAGCACAAAACGCCTGACGTAGCCATTCCGTAAGCGTCTCCTGAGCGTTTACACGGTGCCAAGCACAGTCCCTCTCTCTGCTCCATGCCCCCACTGAAGGGTGGGCCTGAGGGGACACCGTGTCACCGCCAGGGTCCAGCCCTACAAGGATCCCAGCCCAGCCTCGCACCCTGTCCCTGACCAGGAAGCAGACGAGGGATCTGAGCACGCACCCCAGCCTCAGGATAGGAGCCCTTGGTGTGAGTGTCAGGAAGGACCATGAGCAGCACCAGGCCACACGGGGCCACTCCGTCTCCTCTGTCCTCATCTGCCAAGCACAGGGCTCTCAGAGAGGAGAAAGGGGAAATGAGAGCTGCATGCATATGGGATCAAGGAACCGGCCCGAGGAACAGAGCCCTTCTGTTCCCAGCCCCCAGGCCTCCTTCCCGGGCTCCCTCGCTTCTTGGGCCCCCCATTAGCCCGCCAGCTTCTACACACAGGACACCCCGGCCACCCTCCCTACATGAGCGGGACCCTGGCTGTGCCAACGCCCCAGGCCCAGAAGCTGAAAGGAAACCGATAATGAAAACCACTAGACCCCGCTCGCTCCCCAGCTGCTGACCAGACAAACCTTTGACCTCCATCTCCCCACGTTCTGGCCCCCGCGGAGGAAAAAGCCTGTTCCTTGTCCCAGACAGTAACTTAGAGGCAAGAGGTGGCCCAGAGCACCGGGCCTCAGGCCCAGCACAGACGCAGCTGCTCAGGCTGGGACAGAGCTACGACTGGCTGTCCAGGCCGAGGGATGGAGGGGAGGGACCCGGAGATGCAGGCCTGCCCCCTCCTCTCACAGCTCACCCCCTGCAGAGAGGAGGCAGCCCCACGGTCAGCAGGCCACAGGCTCCTTCTGCCACCGAGTCACAAAGGAGACACAGACAGGAACGTTACACACACGCACAGACAAGCACACACACAGGCACAGACTGGCACCTGCTCAGAAACAAAGGGCGTGCACATGGGCTCACGCATAGACACACCCTCCCAGCCAGGCACATACCTCACACTCAGACAGGCACACTTCATGCATAATCTCAGGCACACACACACATGCACAATCATCAGAGGTACAGGCCACACACATAAATGGGAACATCACACACACACACACACACACACACACACACACAACCAGTCACCAGTCATATATATACTGGCTCCAGCTCCAACCTTCCAACTTCCCTAGAAGATTAGACTCAACAGACGGTGAGGAAAACTTACAGTGTCTGATGCCACCACCAGGATCCTCCAGCTCCATCCGCTGGCATCTAAAAGTGCCCCTCACACCCAGGGTTCAGGCATAACCTGAGGTCCCTGAAGCCACAAGCACCCACAGTGCTCAACAAGACTGCACAGCTAGTCACCCCCATCCCTTCCACCACCCCCGACCCGTCACCCACCATCCGAAGCCCCCAAAGGACACGCTGCGCTTCCTGCCAAACATGGTGGTGGCCGCGGGGCCCCGGGGCCAAGCGATGTTCCGGGGGCTGTCGGCGAGGGGGCCTCCGTGCCTCGGTGCAGCAGGTCAACGGGCCACCAGTGCAGGGCGGGGCGCCCAGCGTGACACCTCCCCCACGGCCTGCCCCCACAACCTGTACTTCCTGTGGGTGAGGCCGCGGGGCCAGGAGGTGTGTCCTGGGTTCTGGGAGGCACTGAGACAAGCAGGGGAGGTTGAGAGGGCAGCTTCCCCACGCCCAGAGGAACCCGCAGCTCCGGAAGGGGCTCGGCGGGCAGATTACACCACAGCCCGAGCCGGCAGCTCAGCCCCAAGATGCCTTGGCTTCCCAGAACCCCGAGGAGGGCCGAGGATTCCTACACGGGGCCTGGCCAGGAGGAAGACCTGGCTGGGACACTGGGGGAGCCCTGCAGACTGGGGCCCCTCACGCCCACCGTCCGAGATGCGACTTTTGCCTTCCTGCTCCACCATGGCTTGGTGCACACCAGGAAAGCCAGCTTCACATATGTAATGATCCCTGTGCCCATATGTGCGCATGATCCACCTGTACGTATAGGTACATGTGTGCTCACATATGTCATTGGACATGCACACTCACAGTCAAGTTCATTAACAGACACCTGGACATATGTACATATATCTTATATACATATAACTTCCCATCAGACACAGGCTCACACATGGATGGAGACACACATGCATGCATCACATGTGATGCTCATGCGCGCATCAACGTACATGTGTAATCCAGGCACACGCTCAGGTTGCACACATGCCTGCAACGTACATTCACGGGTACCATACGCAGGCACAGATCTGCACTTCCCAGACCCCCTCACGTGTCCAGACAGGAGCCAGCAGTGCCACACTTCACGCAACAGGGTGGGAGGTGGCCCCTGTGTGCAGTGCTCTCTCCGGCTGGAACTGAAGGCGGGCCCTCGCCTCCTCGTGCACCAGCGCTGAGCATGCCGGGCACACAGCAGCGCTCACTGAACAGCCCGCAGAGGGGCGTGGCACATACACTGGACCGGACCAGGGTAGGGGGACACAGAAGGGTGCCGGGCCCCTGCCCTGCCCCCAAGCAGAGAGAAAGGGAAACAACGCTGCTGTGGCTGCCACCAATGGCCTCTCTCCCTGGCCCACT